CTACAAAAACAAACTTTCCATCTATTGCGTGCCGAGAAACATACTCCATAGCTTTCACCCTGATTTCCCCGTTCACGGGTTGTGGGACCACGTGAGAGTGCTGCCGTCCGATGGCGACAAGGCAGCTGAGGTTGCACCCCTCGTTGTCTGGTTCATTGTCTTCGTCCAGCCCCATCTTTGTGGGGGGCCAGATTTTCAAATAGCCGTGCTGTGGATTGTGCAGAAGCTTTTTCGATCTACTTTTTTCTTTGAGCAGGTGGAGGGGAAGTCCTTGTCTTCCACCTTTACTGAAGGCCTGTTACACTTCATCCTACAGAAGAAAGAACGTCGTGCTCCAGAACATAATCAAGATGGCCCAGGGGTTATATCTGTTTTAACTGGAAGTCCAGTTTTTGCATCTATGAGCCGCTCCCGGGGCGCGGTGTCCGAAGAGGAGAGCTGCTCCTTAACTTTGGCGATATCTTTAGGATGCAGGTAGTCAAACAAACTCTGACCAATCAGATCATTCTGGCTGTAGTTGAGAATCTTGAAGACGGACTCTGAGACAAAGAGTATCTTCCCTCGGTCACATCGTACGACAAACAAAAATCCATCTGCTGCCCTGAGAATGAGGTGTTTCAATTCATCATCTGACAGAAAAGTTGGCTTGTGGTTTGCTTCTGTGTATGGATTAGTGGCACCTCGTAACGTTTTCATGTGCTGAACAGCCATCCTTAACACAGTAAGTTTATCTAATTTCACTTCTGCCCATATTTTTTTTAATGTCATTTGTATTGACGCCTTCTTCCCCATTGATACCTATTAGTCTCACATTGTTCATCTGTGCATCATCTTGCAGGTGATGGATTATTTTTTCCTGCATCATAGTTGTTTTTAAGAGATCCTTTCTTACCTTTTCACTAGCTGCACCAGCGTCTTCAAGATCTGAAACTCTGTCTTCACTTTCACTTAAATGGTTTTTTAAGCTTGTGATTGAGATTTTAAATTCCTCTATATCTCTTTGACTCTGCTTCATGCGATCTATTTCTTTCCTGTATTGCTCATTCAAGGAATACATCATTTTTCTAATCTCCTCTATTTTTTTTTAATCAATGTCTTCTTTAGAAGTAGCTATTAATTCTTTTACTGCAGTGTTTTTTTCAGGTTGGCTTTCCTCCCTATGTTTCTGTAGTTGATTCTTTACCTCAGATGCTATGAGTTCCGAGAATTCTTTTCTTATTTCAGAAAATTCCACTCTGAGTTCCTCTATAACTTTCTGCTGTTGCTTATTTACTATCAACACTATTAATCCATACATTTGAGCTGAGCTAGTGTCCTCTGCACTTGTTCTGGGTGGGCATTGGGTTTCCTCCCTATGTTTCTGCATTTGATTCTTTACTGAAGATGTTATTATTTCAGGGATTTCTTTTTTCATTTCCAGTCTGAGTTCCTCTATACCTTTCTGCAGCTGTTTCTTTCTTTCAGAAGCTGTTGATTCATTGATTTCAGCTGTGTGATTCCCAATTTGTTCTGTGTTAGTGTCCTCTGCACTTGTTATAGGTGCGCTTGGGTTCTGAGATTGCATTTTGTTCCTTCTCATTGTCATTTTGTGTAGCACTGTCTTCTGACCTTTGTTGTAGATCTTTGGTGCAGTTATAACCTTAGCACGTACTGAAGTTCAGGTGCAGATCTACAAAGTTTGGATTTATCCAGCTGTGCCTGGCTTGGGTCTGGCTGCTGTGCTCAGCTCCTTCCTGCTGCTGCCCTTCGGGGTGAACCTGTTGTGCCCCTCTGGCAAGATGTTCTGCTCCTGGACTAGCTGGGTGGTTCTGTCCCCTACACTCTCTGCAGGGATTGTAGCTGCAGGGTTTCATCCCAGGCCTGTATGCCAGGCCTAAGCTGAGTCTGGAGGGTACAAGGTGGAGTAGGGGGGAGAGGCAGCTCTCCCACACACTCACTGGGCCTGGGCTAGGACTGGATCTGGGGGTTCCCGGTACGTGACAGAAATTCCTACTCAGTGGGTGGGGTGGGGGGAGGACTATGGAGTGGTGGGGGGCGTCCTAAGGGGGTGGAAGAGGGTCTCACCCATGCTGTGCCTGGACTGGGACCAGTAGGTCCCGCCGGCGCATGGTAGCCAGAAGCTCTCCCACACACTCACCGGGCATGGGCTAGGACTGGATCTCCCAAGATTCTTGGGGTGCAGAGTATCACAGTAAGGGGCACAAAGCCTGAGCCAGCCCACAGCAGAGGGACAGATGTTCCCTTCCTTCACTAGCCACTGGCCTATGAGTCCAGAGCCTTGAGTGCACCTCAGGGCTAGGAGCCTCGGGAGCCAGTAGCGGGCGGGCTGTCCCGTAGGGCCCTGGGCGGCCTTGCCTCCTGGCTTCCTTCCAAGGCTTGCCTCCCTTCTGTCCTCTTCCCTTCCTTCCATCCATTTTTCTTCCTTTATTTTTTTCTTTTTCTTTTCTTTCTTCTCTCCTTTTTTCTTTATTCTTTCTTTTGACCTGTGAGCTGCCTGCCACCTACTAATAAATGCTCCTTCTGTGAGCACCACAGAGAGTCCTCACCTCCTGCTGGTCACCGTGGTCACTCTGCCTGCCGTGTGTTGAGGTGTGAGGTGGCCTCTCTACCCCAGACTCCCACTGTGCATGGGCAGCCCCTGCTTCTGTGAGCCTACAGCCCTGCTCACTCCTTTTGAACCCTCACTTGGACCACCACTGTCATAGATGTCACCTCCTTACCACTTTCCCAATACCTGTCCAGGACCAAAAAAAAAAAAGAAAGAAAGAAAGAAAGAAAGAAAGAAAGAAAGAAAGAAAGAAAAAGACTTGAGGCTTCTTGCTGCTGGGCAGGGGCCAGTTGCAGAGCATTTGTTTGTGTAATGCCCTGGGTCACATCCAAGCTAAAGCAAAACAAAAGGAAGCCAAGCTAAGCCAAGCTAAACCAAACCCAGAAATCATCCTCCCCCAAAGACATCTTTGCTAGAGACACTGGAATCAATGTCCCCAGGCAGAGCAGGGCTGTGTGGAGAGCCAGTGTAACCCAAGGGAGCCATGGGGTCCAGTTCTTGTCCTGCCCACCTCTGTTTGCCCCTAGGTTGCCCAGTGCTGCCCATGGATGGCAGGGTCTTGAGCACCATGTGCTACCGCACTCTGGGCCTGACTGTGTCTGTGAAGCAGGGGAAGCCATTCCTGAGTTTTTCAGAAGCTAGTGATTGCGTTGTTTCAAAGGCCCCTGCATCAGCCTGTGGAGTACTGGGATGTGGTGGATCTCAAAAGCTGAGGTGCGGCGGGAAAGGGCAGGCCCTGGGGACATACCCTTGCAGGGGACCCGGGACTGATGCCTTCCTGCCTCTGGCCACCCAGCTGCTGTGATGTGAGCACCTTGCCCCTTGCACACTTCCTACCATGACGTTTCACCTAGCCATAGGCCCCAAGCAATGGGGCCAACCATGGACGAAACCTCTGAAACCCTGAGGCCAAGCGAAGCTTTCCTCCCTTGAATTGATCATCTTGGGTGTTGGAGCACCCAAGAGAAAGCTTTCTAGTGCTTGCTGTGCCCCTGAGCTGGCAGCCCCCTCCTGAGCCTCCAGAGCAGGCCCCTCATCTCTGCCCCACTCTTGCACCTCGCCCCTGCTTCTCTTGTATAAGAACACTGGTGACTGCATTTAGGGCTCCCCCAGGAAACCAGGACACCCTCCCACCCCTACAGATGTGGTACCCTCACATCTGCAGAGTCCCTTTGTCATGTCCGGTCACAATCACAGGACCATGGGGGAGGATGTGGAACATCTTTGAAGGTCACAGTTTGGCCTTCAGAGCCACTGTGCATCGTTGTCTTTGTGGTCACTTCTCCTCTGGTCTGGGTTTCACTCAGACTCTTGAGGGACTGAAAGCACTCTCAGATGGTCACCAGGCTGTGTGGCTTGTCTGGATCTGCAGTAGGCCCCAGGGTTAGGGTGAGTCTCCATCCATCCTATCGCAGGTGCTCCTCTTCCTGCCTGGGTTAGAAGCCAGTTCTCACCACCCTTGTCTCAGCAGAGCGCCTAGCCAGAGCAGCGTCCCACAGAGGTCAGATGTCTGGGTGGGGGAGCTCAGTCCTGTCCTCCTCAGGGACAGGAGGGTGGCAGGCACGCAGGAGACCCCTTCTTTCTATGGGCCCATGGAATTGCCCTCTGTCCCCAAGGTGTCAGAAGCCTCTGAGCTGCTCCTGGTCCTCACAGCTCAGTACCTCCTCCCAGGGGCCATGTGTCAAGTGACTTGCTGCGATGTGTACTGGTCAGGGTCAGTTCTGAGGCAGAGGGAAGCTGTGTGCCTGGGGCCTGGCTAAATTCTCTGTCTAGCAAGGCCAGGAGGGGGCTGACTGCACTGCTTTGAAGCCAGGGCCGAGGGGAGCTGCCTGACAGCCTCTTTGGGGTATTAAAGACTAAGTACAACTTTGAAGAGGATGGAAAATTGAGCTATTATAACACAGGGGGATGTTGGGTGGCTGTCATCCAAAACCTGGGGACACCATTTGAGGACCTACAAGGCTCCCCAACCCAACTGCTATAGATTGAATGTTTGGTCCCCATCCCCAAATTTATATGTTGAAACCTAATCCACATTACAATGTAGCTTTGCCCATTTTATGTTGCTAACTACAGGATAATTCACTAAGGAGAGAAATTTAGTGGCATGTGGTGACACATGCCTATATTCCCAGCACTGAGGGAGGCAGAGTCAGGCGGATCATAAATTCAGGGCCATCATTTTACCTTGTCTCAAAATAAATAATAAGAAATGAGATATAGTCAATATAAAGACCCTGGCTTTGAGTCTCATTACCACCAACAAAAAAGAAAAAAACCCAGAAAGATAATTATTTCCCATCTCCGCATCCTCACAGAGGCTGGGAAGTCCCATGTCTGCATGTGGCAGCTGTGGGGACTTTCCTCTGTGTTCTGACACAGCAAGTAGTATCACATGGCCAGAGAGCAAGTGAGCCACTTCAGATTGCCACCTCTTCTTATAAAGCCAACAGTCCCACCATGGAGTTCTGGCCTCATGACCCCATTTGACTGTACCTCTGAAAGGCCTCATCTCTGAGTACTGCCAGCGAGCTATGGGGTTACACTTTGACCCATGAACCTTAGGGAGGCTCATCCGAACCAGACAGTAATGGAGACGAGGCCCCTGGGAGGGAGGTGACAAGGTCTGAGGGTGGTGCCCTCAGGAGTGGGATTAGTGCCCTCATAAGAGAGCACTCAGAGAGCTCCCTCAGCACTCCTGCCACGTCACATTTGGACACAGAAGGAAGCTGCCTGTCTATAAACCAGGATCTGCTGGCACTGACCTTGGGCCTCCCAGTCTCCGGAATCATGAGGAATTCATTTCTGTTGGTCTGTGCAGACCAGGTACTCAGGTGGAGCAGCCTGAACGGACTAGGACACTAAACGCCCACAGCCAAGGAGGGTCGCAGCAGTGTGCGGGAAGCCCGCGGAGCGCCGTCATTGCTGTGACGGGTGTGGCCGAGCTGTCCGGCAGTGCAGCTCTGCGGGAGCAGCCAGAAGTCTGGACTGCAAGTTTTAACCTTCCAGTTGCAACATTTGCCAGCAACTAACGAAGTTGCAGCTACCACACATGCAGGCTACAGGACTTGGGGTCCCTCCTCTGTGCTCTTGCATAGTCAGTGCTTTAACTCTGCTTGGTAAGGCTTGGGGTGCTGTTTTCTCAGTGTGGGGACCAGGAACCCCCGATGTCAGCGGAATCTGTGGACTCATGATACCAAATGCCTCCTAAGTCCCGGGGCCTGGGTCCCAGAGGCAAGGCCTG